AAGCTGGAGTTGGCAACCCTATATCTGGCAGAATGAGGATTCAAACCTGGGTCTCCCAGGTCCTAGTATGACACTCTTTAACCATGCACCACATTGGCTCTCACGGTCCTTGGAACTTCTGGAGTAAGTAAACACAGAGTGTCTGAACATGTGCAGAGTATCTTTCGCTCACCATTGAATCAGCAAAGTTCCTCTTCACTCAGACACTGAGACTTTGAGCTAAAACAGGCACAGCTTCCAGGAAGGTGCAAGATCTGACTCCTCTTGGGACTATTTTATTTATTTCTGTTTCTAACATGCCTCACAGGGTTCCCTCTAAGCCGAGTTAGTGTGAGCTGGCTCACAGTTTTTTAGCCTCCGGCTCACACAGTTTTGCCTTGGCTCAGGAAGGATGTCTCCAGAGCAAACGAATTTATGCGGTAGCCAAATTGCTTGCTCACCACTTTAATGCCAGGAGCTCCCAAAGTAGAATTTTTGCTCACAAGACCCTACAGCTTAGAGGGAAGCATTGCTCCCAAGGTTGTTGTAGCAATAAAACATAGGTACACTGAATTTGATGGGGGAAAGGGCCGTATACGAACATTGCTGATAAATCCCCCTTTCTGCTCAGGCTGCACCCAATTAACAACAAGCACATAGTCTGTGGGAGACGTCCACGTTTCTCTCGGAGACCTGGTTTGGTGTAGTGGTTAAGAGTGCAGCCTCTCATCTAGGGGAACCAGGTTTGACTCCCCACGCCTTCCCATGCAGCCAGCTGGGTGACCTTGGGTCAGTTACAAGTCCATTCAGAGATGGAAAAAATTATGAAATGCAAAATTAAGAAGGAACCGGAAGTTTTTCTTCTGGGACTGAGAATGGAAGAAGTCAACATTGCAAAACGAACATTAATGTGGTATATGATTACAACTGCTAGAATGACGTACGCTCAATGCTGGAAGCAAGAAAAAACTCCTGATATTTGGGAGTGGTTAAAGAAGTTACTTTTTATGGTTGAAATGGACAAAATGACAAGAAAACTCAAAAATCAAGAAGCAGAAGACCTTTTTGCAGATCGGAAGGACTTTAAAGATTATATGGAGAAATACTGGGATGTTATTTTGCTTAGACAATTATTAAGACTGAGAACTATCTAGATTAAGTTTAAACGTAACCTCCTGATGGCACCTGGTATTTCTGGCCACTGTGTGACACAGAGTGTTGGACTGGATGGGCCTTTGGCCTGATCCAACATTGGCGTCTCTTATGTTCTTATGTTCTTATGCTAATGAGTTCCTGCTGGGCGTTTTCTACCAAAAAAGCCCTGGGTGTAGTGGTTAGGAGCGCGGACTCGAATCTGGGAGAACCGGGTTTGATTCCCCACTCCTCCAGGTGCAGCTGCTGGTGTGACCTTGGATCAGTCACAAGTTAGTTCGGAGCTGTTCTCTCAAGGACAGTCCTCCAAAGAACTCCTGAAGCCCCACCAACCTCACAAGGTGTCTAGAGGCCACCTACTCCAACCCCCTTGCTCAGAGTGGGAGATCAGTCAACTACAGCACCCCAACTCCGCTTAAAGGACTGCACGCCTTTAAACAAATGTTTAAAAAGTGATTGATAAAAAGCATTTACAGGAGAAATTCTTGTGGGGCTGTGCTTTTAAGCAAGGGGGTAGAGCCCCCCAAAAGCCCCACTGAAGGTATGGGCCTGGAGGTAGGTGAAGACATGGGGGATGTGGCCCAAGATATCATTGTCAGCTTCATGGCTGAAGCTGGCATGGTAGTGGTGTAAAGTGCCCTCAAGTGGCAGCAGTGTTGAGGACAGCAGTGGGATACTGAAGTCAACCGCAGACTCTCTCCTGGTTTGCTTTTCAGTAAGAACAGCCTATCCAGGTGCAGAAGAGCACAGGAATACTTCGAAGGCAGAAGAAAACCTCCACCGCCGCAAGTCTTCTAAGCGGAAGTTAGACCCATCTTTCACGTTCCATCCAATCTTTCCTTCAAGGAGCTCCGGGCGGCTTTTCAGTTCCCCTCTTCACAACCACCCTGTGAGGTAGAAGAAGAGGTTGGCTTTATAGCCCACCCTTCACCACCCAAAGGTGTCTCAGAGCGGCTCACAAACTCCTCTCCCTTCCCCTCCCCACAACAGACACCCCTGTGAGGTAGGTGGGGCTGAGAGAGCTCTTGACAGCAGCTGCTCTTTTTCAAGAACAGCTCTTAGAAGAACTACGGCTTGCCCAAGGTCATCCAGCCAGGTTCAATGCCATGTAGTGGGCTAGGGGGTGCTGGGCTTTGACCAGAGAGACCTGAGTTCAGATCTCTGCTCAGCCATGAAGCAGATCTCTGCTCAGATCTCAAGTGCCTGTAATAAATATACAGATCTCTGCTCAGACCCGAGTTCAGATCTCTGCTCAGCCACCCGTCTCCCTCCCCTCCTGCAATATTTAAAGGGCCCTTCAGCTGATCGGCGGGGAGCATGTGGCCTGCAGATCAGCTGGAGGGCCCTTTAAATCTTGCGGGAGGGAGGGAGACAGGTACGTGCCATTCCCTTCTTCTGAAAAGCATTTAAAGGATCTCTTTAAATGCTTTTGAGAAGAAGTTGGGGGCGTGTGAGCACGGCCCTCCGTCTTTCTTCTAAAAATAATCTTGTGGGGCTGCCCCTTTAAGGAAGGGGGCAGAGCCCCCAATAGCCCCACTGTAGTTATGGGCCAGGAGGTGCGGTGGCTCAAGTGGTTAAGATGCTGAACTGCAGGCTGTGGAAGGTCGGTAGTTCAGCAGTTCGAGACCCGAGTGTGCCGCATGACAGAGTGAGCTCCCGTCTGTAGTTCCACCTCCTGCCAACCTAGCAGTTCGAAAGCAAGAAATTGCAAGTAGATAAATAGGTACCACTTCGGTGGGAACAGCGTTCCGTGCGCCTTGGTGTTTAGTCATGCCGGCCACATGATCACGGACACGTCTTCGGACAGGGCTGGCTCTTCGGCTTGGAAACTGAGATGAGCCTAGAGTCGGACTCGACTGGCTTTTGAGCAAGGGAACCTTTACCTTTACCTTTAGTTATGGGCCAGGAGACCACCAAGGAAGCCCAGGGCTGCTGCAAAGAGGCAAACCACCACCTCTTGCCTTGAAAACCCTCAGGGATCGCTGTTAAGTTGTCAAGCAACTTCACGGTGCTTCCCACCACGTTTCTGGACTGATGCCAGCCAATTGCTCTGCCCTCTGCAGTTTGACAATGCAGCTGTCTCGCCAGGAAGTTGTGCCCTTGTCTCCCATTCTTTTTTCAGAGGGCCTCGTGACTCAAAGGCATGACTCAGAGGCAGGGGTCATTTCGTAGAAAAAGAGGTGCAGGAGCTCATTAGCACAGCTCATTAGCATAACTTATTTGCATGTGCCACACCCTCTGACATCACTGGAAGTGTGTCAGAAGGCAACACCCCCCGCTCAGGCTCCACTGGACTCTTTTGGATTGCTAGCTATCGGGGGGGGGGGGAGGGGCAGCTCTGTACTCACAAG